ACTCCAGTACACTGCGCAACTGGCGCAGTCGGCACAGCAGGCTCAGCAGGCTATAAGCAATGCAGGCAGAAGCCGTAGCTTCACACGTGTACGTCGAATTCCACCGCATGCTCATGACATGAGAACTTCTCGCCATGTGGACTCACTCGCTGTCGGTTGCTGTGTGCTCCATTCCAGAGTGCCAAACGAACCCCTCACATTTGCTCGGTTTGCCGTGGCCCTGCCATCAACCACAAGCGCAATTGGTGTCCTGTTAAGCAAAAACCTCGAGGGAAACTGGCAGCCGCGTCTGCTGTGTCTGCCTCTGCTGCCTCTGCTGCCTCTGCTCCCTCTGTTGCCTCTGCCGCATCTGCCGCCATTTCTCAACTTCATCAAAGCAATTCCAATTTGTAACGATCGAGGCAGAAATCTGCACGAACTATGATTCTTTTGTTTGTTTTATCCTGATTTTCTCCTGATTTTCTGTGATTTAAGCTTCTTTTTGGAGCGGCTCTCGCCGCCCCCAAAAAAAGCTTTTTTTTTTTCCCCCCCCGGGGGTACCTGCCCCAGGCTCGTGCTGTGATGGCTTGTACTTGTGATGTTTGACTGCCGTTTTGCATGTTTTGTGTTTAAATTGGCTGCATCTAAGATTATACTTGGTCGTTTTTTACGATTTTTGTTTCCTTGTGCGTGATCCTTTGCGCGTGTACTTCGCAGCATGATAGAAGCTGATAAGAGTGTGGTTCTCTTGTGTTCTTTTGCGTGCCGTCGTGATTTTGATGTCGGGGTTGCACAGCTTTGCTTTCAGCTCTGAGGTTCAAACACCTAATTTATTTCTTATTATTATGAGGCCAGAGCATATCAGGCCCGAGCAGATGAAGCCTGAGTAGATGAGGCCTGCGCAGATCAAAACCAAGCAGATGAGGCTGGAGTCGATCATGCCAGAGCAGATCAAGCCAGAGCACAGCTTTGCTTTCAGCTCTGAGGTTCAAACACCTAATTTATTATTTATTAGAGCAGATCAGGCCTGAGCTGATGAAGCCTGAGCCGATCAGGCCAGAGCAGACCAGGCCTTAGCTGATGAAGCCTGAGCCAATGAGGCCCGAGCAGATGAGGCCTGAGCTGATGAGGCTGGAGCCGATCATGCCAGAGCAGATCGAGCCGGAGCAAATGAGGCCAGAGCAGATCGAGCCGGAGCAAATGAGGCCTGAGCTGATGAGGCTGGAGCCGATAAGGCCAGAGCAGTTCAGGCCCGAGCAGATGAGTCTGGAGCCGATCAGGCCAGAGCAGATCAGGCCTGAGCATATGAGGCCTGAACTGATGAAGCCTGAGCAAAATGGCTGTATCTGTGGTTATAATAATATATATTTTTTTCTGACATCTTGGCGTGAACCACGTTGTCAGACAAAATCTGCAACCCCGCTCTTTGCGGCCCGCGTTTTGGCGGCGCCCTCGCTCCCACCGTGTCCGCTCGCTTGCTCGCTAGCTTGCCCCGCGGACATGGCCACTGAGTCCGGCGGCGAGGATTCTTGGACCCAAGTCCGCGGTGCTAAGCGCCCGAGTGCCGAATCACCTCCAAGCAACACCACCACCTCGCCTTCCCAAACTCATCGTTCTGCAAAACACACGAAACATGGCAGCGCTCGCCACGACCGTAACCATGTTTTCCCTGACCCCATGACCACCCCGCTTCGCCCTCACGCCCGCCACTCTGTCCCTACCGCTCGTGCCTCGTCTCATGTGCCCTCGACGTCCCCCGCTGCCGGTGCGACCGAGTCTTCGGCACGTGCCGTCGTGCCCGCGGCCGAGCCAGTGACCAGGACGTCAAACGGCGGCGGGGAGCAACATCCCAGCCTCGGAAACACTTCCAATGCTTCTCCCCGCACCCCTCGCACGCCATCCAGCCCTCGCTCCTTTGCTCAAGTTGCTGCGGCAATGCCTGCCGCCGCCACTGCCGCATCTTTGGCCCCTGTGACCGAGGATTTGTCAGCATCGGTGCCCTCTGAGCCAAATGGCAGCGGGGAGCAGCAACCCTCGC